CTAGTCATCACCACCCACCACCAACTCTTAGGCTACTCTCTTACCAACGAATAATTGGATTGATTGTCACATTATAATGCCCACACGGCTGAAAAGGCGAGCATGTTTGGTGGGACGGGGATTCGAACCCGCCACCCTCAGATTGCAAATGCTGTTATGTAGTGATGATACAAATGTCACCCCTAATGTCGTTTTTGCATTCTTTGTGAAGGATTGATATATTAGCCATCCCTACATTTACTTCCTTTTTTGAAAAGTTTTCTTTACTTGTTTCTTTAATGCAGCGTTTCAACAGACATGGGAAGGTTGTATTTACAACCAAGTTCTAAATACAATGAGGTTCCAACTGTAATGTTTATTGCTTATCTATTATTGGCTAGTAAATTCCTGTTTCACCCTGCACTTAAGCTTTATAAAGGAACACCAACTTTCTGTAAGAAAGCTGACTTCAAGGGGTAATGATAAACATCGTTTACATTAGAATGATTTTTTAAAAATTAATACTAGTTAATAGTATTTATAAAAGCATCGTTTGAAACTATGTCACCACATGAAATTGATTGGCACCATTGTTTTGGTTTTTCAGTTAACATGCAATAAAAAGGAAGCAACAGAAAGAAGAATAAGAAATTTAAACTTTTTGCTAATACTTGCAGACATTCCCAGAACTCGTGACTCAGTCATTAGATATATATTATTATAAAAGGAAACACAGTATAGTATTATAATGTTCTGATGACCTATTGAGGAGATATTTAAAATACCATTTCGATGAACAATCAGTGCCATCTCTACATAGGCTGTGCTATCAACTGCCTGATAACTCAGTGAAGCGTACAGTTACACTTCTGAATTTTTGTTGGACGATAAATTTTGACAGTTTTATGAAGTGCTAACTGTTACTATGCAATTGAAGCTAAATTGTGTGTGCAATTTACATATTAATTTATAAACTCATTACTATTTGTAAATGTACAAGATGTCTGAGAAATATACTTATTGATATATTAAATGCATTTGACAAAATATAATCTCCCTTTCTTTGTATCATAAATGTTAGGCTTATGATAGTTTGAATAAATTTGTCTTTTTCACTGTTTGTGCATTTGGTTGTTTTTCAACTGCATAAAACAATGAAACTTGGGAGTAATCAGAACCCACCTAACAACTGTCATTAATAAATATTCTACATGTTACGTATCTGCTCGTTTGATAATTTCGGGTAAAAATTCTTTCCGAGAAACTTCAGCGATACAAATCCTTTCTTGAAAACTAGTTTATTATATCTCGATACAACTTTTTGTAATACACAGAATTTCCACAGTCACTTTAAACTTCACAACCTTTATAACACACGCTATAAATCGCTGTGATTCACACACTTTACTTATGGTGCCTACTGTTCGCTTGACTCGATTATAGTTCTCTTCAATCTATCTGCATATCTATCTCCGACTTTTATTTGCCGGGCTTATATACTAAAAAAGAGGGCGTCCCGAACAAACTAGGAAATTCACGATCATTCGAGAAACTCCTTGCACACGCCACCATCGCCAATGCGCCAGCAGTGTCACGTAACTTCCACTGTCGTGACATGCATTTAATTTTCGCAAAAAACTGTCCGAGTTTTATTACAAATTTATTATGGCAACTGGTTGATCATTGTAAAAATTTTATATATTTCTGCTACAAAGAGGCCTAAAATAAGATAAGTAAGCACACACACACAAATATTTATTGACTTTGTAATCATATATAAAAATTAAGATTAGCTACTACACAGCTGCAAACGACACTCTAGAGGCACAACGTGTAACTTATCAATCTAATAAGCTATAATGTATTGCAGCTTATATATTGCAAATTCGTGGTTTTTTCTTCTCTATCATACAGGAAAATTATAAATCGGCTCGTCTGTTTATAGATGCTACTACTATTTGAGAATTAAGAAGTTAAATACAAAACATACTTGTTGATTTATTCAACGTTTATGGCAATTTATAATCTCCCCTTCGATTTACTAAATCGCCTAATTATTTATTAAATTTAATCTCCACGTGCGATTGCCCAATGTGTAGCTTTACGCTAAAAAACAAATAAATGAAGTCTATATGTCAATTTATGAAATATGCACGACAAATTTACAAATGTACACTTTAAACGTTATTACATTACATGATAATTTATAAATGTACGAGGTGATTTTAAATTATGATAAAGCTCGAAACTGAATTTTACGTCGTTTTTGATGTGACTGTCAATCTCAACAGTTCGTTGGAAAGGAGTAAGTACCCCAAGAATTGGCTGTGGGTAGTACTGATTAGCTGCTTTTCCTCACTGCGATTATGTACAAGGCTACAGTATGAACGTTGGACATTCACCTCAGTGAAGTTACGTGCTGTAGACCTACAAATTTACAGACAATAAAGATGTGAAAGTAACAATAACGTTTATAAGTGTAACAGTAACAGTGCAAAACACTAAAGGAAAGTGTGCATGCAGTGTGTTATTATTATCAGTGTGGGGAAACAGAAGTATTATACAAATGAATAGCTATTTTGAGATATAACTTATAAAAAATATGCCACTGCTCGACTTAAAAGAACTCGAGTCTGTCTTGTTCGATTTAAGTTAAACGGAATCTCCAAGCCGAGTATTATTGCATTATGTCAGAGGTACAAAAAGAAAACAACGAAAAAAAAAACACCTTAAAAGGTTCATTATCACAATATTTTAGGTGTTCTAATATTGATACAGGTGTAGCTTGTCAAACAATTAGTGAATTAGACCATGAAATCTTACCTTCATTCCCCATCACAACCAGATCTAGCATAGTGCTCAAAACTAACTGATCGATACTTTTGCTAACGTTTTATAAAAATGCATGGCACGCCCTCTCAAAGTAGCAAGAAATAATTAACAAAAATAATACCTGACGAATTTTATGAATAAACTATCATTAACTTTAAACGAGAGAAAATAACACAGGCCTGCAAATTTAAACTTCATAAAAGTTGTTTTGGTTTTAATAATATTAATTTTTTTCCTATCGCATAATGATTTTTTACAAATCTGGAAGAAAAAAAAAACTCTTACTTAAATCAAATAATTATTTCGTTTACCACAATGAACATTTTTTTATCAATATGTTTGTTAACAAAAATACAAACAAACTGAAGAAAAAGGAAGAACACTGATGTCAAGCAAATATGTTTGTTTGTTTTTAATTAAGCAAAAATCTACATAATAGGCTATCTGTGCTGTGCCCACCACGGCTATCGAAACCCGATTTCTATCGTTATAAATCCGCAGACGTACCGCTGTGCCACTGGGGGAAACGAATATGCATCCCCATTCATCTTGATTTTTTGTGAAATCTACGTCTTTTTTAGTCTCAAACTACGTTTTGTGGTCTTTTTTTATGTATTGTGTTATGACGATTTGTGAAAAATCTGTACGTGATGGACAAAAATGGATATCATTTTCGGATTCAGAATACAGGAATTACAATAAAACTAGCGCAGGCCTGTGTAATTTCTAACCTTCTAACCTTCGCACAAAGTTACACAAGCGTCATCTGCGGCAGCTTTTCCTTATTTTGAACTAATAAGACTAGAAAGCACCTAGTCCAACCTGGGGTCCGCGAAGGTAATACTGGGGGTTCGTGAGCTATTTTCTGTAATTAAATAATGCACAGAAAGACACATAATAATAACACGTAAAAAGCTGAGATTAATCTATAACTACCACAGTTCTTCTGGCTCTCTAAGTATGTGAGAAAAGCCGTTAATAATTCAGCTAAGCCCCAAGATGAGTTCTCGTGGGAAAATTTTTTACTCATTAACCCAAAATGTCAATTATCTGTATAACGAAATGTTAAAAAAGAATATGGTGATCGATCAGTTGAAATATAGGCTTTATATTGGTTATACATTTAGCGGAAATCAACGTCAGAAACATGTATTTGCAAACTGCTAATCAGAGTATATGACAGGGAGGTGTGGCAGGAGGGATCTGAATTTATATTCGATTGCTTTTTAGGCACATAAGATTTAAGGATATAAAAATATTGCTTCATTTAACCTATGACGGAATTAAAGAAAACATTTTATGTCAAATTTTATGGTTCTAGATGGGTGATAAATAAATTATAAAAGAGGCGATAACCAGAGAACAAGATGTCACAATTCTCACAACAGGGGAGTTTGAGGGTTGTTTTTAAGTATTTATTTATAAAATTAAGAACATTAATAACATTAAAATTAGATTTATTACATATTTATGTATGTCAAATTTGTTCGTATACCATGATAATTAAGTAGCTTAATTAAATTTTGAATGTAACTCACTAAAACGTCGTGACATGCGCAGTTTGACCTGCCTGTAGTGAGAGAGAGTTAAGCGATCGATAGCAGTGAACAGTGCTTAAGTGTTTGCAAGCTTACTTAAATTTACTGCTCATTTGCATCACATCCGTGATAGGAATTTATGTAATTTAATATGAACTTATAATAATTATGGATCGGTGGTTAAAATCTGCATCAACATTAAAACGAAAAAATAATGATAACATAAATGAAGGTACAACATGTTCAAGTGAAAAAACACTGAATCATCAATCAAAACGCAAAAATCTTAAATATTGTGATGAATATATATATCCTTTGGATTTATATGCATAAACAAAAGCCACAGTGTATACTCTGTTATGAAGCATTATTCAATGAAAGTATGAAGCCAGCCAAACTTCGCCGGCATCTAGAAACAAAACATAAAGAACACATCAACAAACCTGCCGAATATTTTCATAGGAGACAACTAGGTAGGCTTGCAAGACAATAATCATTAGAAAAATAGCAACTGGCTGTGATAATGAAAGTGCTGTGTTTGCTTCGTATTGTTGCGTCATCGAGGTCACGTGACTGGTGTGGCGCCCTCTATTTTCTA